TGAAATCACGTGGTTTAAATGCCACTTCCACACCAGTGCTCCCCAAATCTGTTTAACCTACCTACTAAACATGGGCCTTAGATGTGCTCAAAACACTTCCATAGTCTTGCAGTTGGGCAGAACTAACAAAAAGAGTGTCTCATGGAATTTATTGAGTGGTTGTATCTAAACGGTACTGGTGACGCAGCCCACAGAGAGTACCGCTGTGCACCCTGGTGATCGTGAGGACAACGGCAACCTGCAGCTGGCTACCAAGGCCCAGCATCCCAAGCGGCCCCCGTCCCATCCCGATGTGTGAAAGTGAGGAGGAATATGTAGGGCATCTGCTGTGTTCAAGATGTTTCACTTCACACGTTGGGGGAGAAATGCAAGCTGCTTCAGCTTGAATTATTACCTTTGCTTCTTCGAATGCCTGCCTGAAATATTACACACACACACACACACACACACACACACACACACTCCTGTTGATATTAAGTTGGCATTAATCTAAACTAAATTTTTATCAACTAAGAGGCTTATTGTCATCTCCAGAGTAATCACTAAGACAACGACTCAAAAATACATGATAAACTGGGCACCGTAGCCATGTCTGTAATCCTAGCAGCTCTGGAGGATGAGGCAAGAGGGTTGAGAGTTCAACACCAGCCTCAGCAACATAGCAAGGCCCTAAGCAACTCATCAAGACCCTGTGTCTAAATAAAATACAAAAAAAAGGGGGGGGGCGCTGAGGATGTGGCTGAGTGGTTAAGCGCCCCTGGGTTCAATACCTTATACCAAAACAAGTATAATAATAAATGACAAGAGAATTAAAATAGTACACTAGAAAATACCTATATGACACCAAGGAAGATATAATGGATGAACTGAAGGCAGGAAATGATATTCAGAAAACAAATAGCAAAATGCTGAACACAACTCCTAACTTATCAGCAATGACCGCAATGTAAATAGATTAAACTCTCCAATTAAAAGGCATACTTTAGGAGGATGGACAATAAAGCATTATTTGGGCTGGACATGATGACACATGCCTATAATCCCATCTACTGGGGAGGCTGAGTCAGAAAGATCGAAACTTAGGGAGACCCTATCTCAAAATAAAATTTAAAACAGCTGGGGATGTAGCTCATTGGTGGAGTGCCCCTGGGTTCAATCCTTACTCAGTCTCTCTCTCTCTTACACACACACAAAAAGGCAGAAAATGTAAAAAATAAAAATTAAAGTGCAAATTAACAAAACACCAATAGAAAAGCAATAAAGAAAATAATTAGAAACAACTTATTTTAAAAGATCAGCAAAATTGACAAAGCTCTATCTAGCAAGAAAACAGAGAAGACTTAATTTTTGAAAACCAGAATTGAAAGAGGATCATTACTGCTGATCTTTAGAAATAAATAGGGCCTATGATGGAGTGCTGGGACCATCATAGTTGCACAACAGGCAGGCAGCTGCTCAGGAGGCTGAGATGGAGGACGGCGTGAGCCCAGGAGTGGAAGGCCAGCCTGGGCAATGTAGTGAGACCCCCTTCTCAACAAACAAACAAAAAAAACACAATAAGTAAAGCAATTGCACACCAAAATATTAGATAGGGTAGATGAAATGGACAAATTCCTAGGAAGACACACGATACCAAAACTGACTCAAGAAGAAAGGGGCGGAAATCCAAACAGACTTATAAATTTTTATTAATTTATTTATATTTTCAATTTTGGAGGTACTGGAGATTAAACTGAAAGACACTTAGCCACTGAGCCATATCCCTGGCCGTTATTTATTTATTTATTTTGACACAAGTTCTCACTAAGTTGCTATGGTTGGCCTCAATCTTGCAATCCTCCTGCCTCAGCCTCCCCAGTTGCTGAGATTACAGGCATAGGCCACTGCGCATAGCTCAGACCCATAACAATTTTAAAAATTGGTAATAAAAATTTTCCCACCAAAGGAAAATCCAGGACCAGATAGCACCACTGGTTGATTTCTCACCAAAGATTTAAAGAAGAATTAATACCAATCCTTCACAACATCTCCTTAAAAATAGAAGAGGAGAGATCATGTTCCCACTCATTCTATGAGGCCCAGTATAGTATCACCCTGGTATCAAAACCCTGAGGTAGGATTTAAAAAATCAAATAGAGGCGCTGGGAATGGGGCTCAGTGGTTGAGTGCTTGCCTGACATGCATGAGGCCCTGGGTTCAGTTCCCAGCAACGCACACGTACACACACTAGGTAGAAATGAAGAACAAGGAAATACAATTTTAATCTGAGGTTCTGCATCCAAGCCAGCCTCTCTCCCAGACCCATCGCTCCCAAACTCTGCAAAACCTGTAAATCTTAAAGATACCATAAATTCACCCATTTACAAAAATTATCTATACACCGTTAATTAGCTCACCAATAAATAGATTAAGTAAAGAGAGAGAGGACGCTTTAAGAAAACCTATAATTTAGGGGATTTTTCCATCATCACCTACTGATCAGGTCATGGATCCTGAGAATGATCAGGCTGGGGTCATCCTCATCTCCCATGCCCACCTCTCCCCAAGTTTCCTTTCAAAGAAGGCCCGGAACCCCAAAAATATCTCTCACTCTTGAGGTGGCCCACATTCTCCCTTGAATGTGTGTTCCTTGCTTTCCTAAATAAACCTCGGTACCCTTACTGGTGTGTGCTGAGATTCTTCTTCACGGGGTATGTCAAGGATCCCACTAGTCCAGAGTAGAGTCCCCTCTTCTCTAGGAATCCCTCTGGACCCCCTTCTGAAGACATCTCTTTTCTCATGACAACCAAAGGTATCATAAGAAAGAAAATTATAGACCAAGATCTCTTATTCATATGGATGCAAAACATCCTCCCAAAACACCAGAAAGTCAAATTGAGCACCATATAAAACAGATTATAGCCCAGGATGGTGGTGTATGTCTGTAATTCCAGCAGCTCCGGAGGCTGAGGCAGGAGGATGTCGAGTTCAAAGCCAGCCTCAGCAAAAGTGAGGCCCTAAGCAATTCAGTGAGACTCTGTCTCTAAATGAAATACAAAATAGAGCTGGAGATGGGACTCAGTGGTCGAGTGCCCCTGAGTTCAATCCCAGTACTCCTCCCACCCAAAAAAAAAAAAAAGAAAAAGAAAAGAAAGAAAAACAGATTATACACAGTAACCTAGTGGGATTTATCCCAGGAACACAGGACCATTCAACACTCAAAAATCAATCAATAGAGCACGCTCCATTGACAAAATAAAGGACAAAAACACATGGTTGTCTAAGAAGACACAGAAAAAGAATTTAGAAAGATCCAACAAAAGAGGGAGAGAAGAGGATGTCCGAGCTGCAAAACCAACACCTAGGAACAAGCCACAACTGGAAGGAAAAAACGGATATCTTCCTAAGATGAGGGACTGGACAGGAGATGGGCCTTCACCACGCCTGTCCCACACTGCGCTGCAGGCTCCTGTCAGCTCGCTCACCCCCCACCCCACCCCCGTGAAAGTTCTATGCCCTTCCAGAGGCCAGCAGTGGGGTGGAGTCCCCTTGCCCTCAGGAGAAAGGGCCTGGGCAGTGTCTGTGTCATGATTTGAAGCATCAACTTCTTCCTCCCTGGGACAGCAGGGCCTGGGGCTTCACTTCCTTGAGGAAGCAGGCTCGCCCAGCTCAGGTTGGACACTCCTGGGGACCAGGACCATTGATGGGCTGAGCGTGCACGTGTGACTGCCATCACAAGGGGAAGTGCCAATTAGTCCTTCCCCTCTCTGAGCCTTCAGGGGCTGGGTGCTGAGGAAGCAGGCCCTGGGGTCTCCAGTCTCCAGAGCCAAAAAGCCCTCAGGCATCAATAGCCAGGCTCTGGGGGGCTTGTTAGTGACTTGAGGGTCCCCTGGGGTGGCAGCTCCAGAGACCCTCACAGTATCAGGACCAGGTTCCTCAGCCCCTCCCTTCTCAGGCACAGGGATGCTGGCAGGGACAGTGTGAGCCTTCCTGCACTATGGTGAGTGTGACCTCAGGGCTGGAGAAGCCACCTTGGCCCAACCTGGGCCTTAAGACTGAGATTCAAAACTGAGTGCGGGGAGAGTGACATTGCAGAGGGTCAGAATATTCACCCCAAACCACAGGGCTGTGATTGATTTGGAGGGAGATTGCCGGAAAGGTGTTCAATTCTGGTTTTTGAAGTGCACAGCATGTCCGGTGCAGGAATATATGAGATCTGGCCAGGAAGGAAGGCGGAGTATCTGAAGAAAGCCAAAGTGACCCCTCCAAGATCACCCACTGCCAGACGCAGAGACCTGGCACACAGGTGACGAGTCAGCAACAGGTGGCGCGGTGTTCTGGTGTGGTTAGAGCCTGGAGCTTCAGGGCAGAAACACATGTGCACACTCCTGGGCACACACATTCCCCACTCCATTCCACCCCAGTCTCTCTCTCTCTCTCTCTCTCTCTCTCACACACACACACACACACACACTTGTAGAATCGTGTAGGGTGAAGGATCGAGGAGCTGGAAGGGGTTCCTGGCTTTGGGGGGGGCGCTTCCTGATAAGAAGAGGAAAAGGGAGGACTCCATCTGGGTGCACAGTTGTAATCCTCGGGAGCCTGAGGCAGGAGGATGCAAGTGCAAAGTCAGCCTCAGCCACTTAGCTAGGCCCTATCTCAAAATTAAAAGTCAAAAAAAAAAAAAAAAAAAGGCTGGGGATGTGGCTCAGTGTTAATTGCCCATGGGTTCAATCCATGATGATGAGGAAGAAGAAAAGAAGGACTCGAGCCCCTCATGCCACTTTCTTTTTCTTTGGGGCTCCACTAGGTCTTAGGAAGCACACCTGGGCCCCTCTAGCTGGCACCAAGAGGTGGCATGGGCCAGGTTCCTGAACTCAGCAGCTCACTGGGAACTCACCCACCAGGCGGACAGCTGTCCTGAGGATCTGTCAGTGGGTACTATGAAAGCAAGAACTGCTCTTCGTGTCCTTTGGACTAACAGTCTCCCCAGTGCAAGGATTGGACGGAGGACTCCAGACATGTTGAGGCAGACTCAGCGTCGCAAGTCCTCAGCCACTGCAGGGGAAAACCCCCGCCACAGCCAGTTCCCCTCTTCTTCCTTCCTTGTCTCCCGGGCGGCGGCAGTGGCTGAAACAGATGCCACCTCCAAGGTGAGAGTAGAGAGGGGCACCTTGTACCCCTTTAGATTTCCATAATGAGTGCACCCCCTCTCCAGCTCCCCCTGAGATGAACAGAGACCTCCGCTGACCCCTGGCAAAGGGCCCCTGACTCAGGATCCCTCTGCCTAGAACCCTGCATGGCTCTCACCTCATACCTAGTCAATGCCACAGTCATCCCTGTGGCCCTCAAGACCTTTCACCACATTCTTCTGTCACCTGCCTGCTCCTGCCTTCCTCCTCTCACTCATTTTTTTTCTACCTGTGTGTTCTCCTGGCTGCTCCTGTCCAGCCACTGGGCCTTTGCACAGGCTGGTACCTCCAACGGGAATGCCCCACATAGCCTCCCCATTAATTTTCTCATTTCCTTTAGGTGTGAATTTGGGGTCTTTGCACAGCTACAGAACCTCCCTGGTCCATCCCCAGGCTAGAGAAGAAAAATTGTACAGACTGAGGGTTAAATTTCCACATACTTCCTTTCAGCCCTCTGCTCTTTCCTCTTCCTTTCCTGTATCTCTCTCCTACTCTACATCTTACTTTCCTCATTGCCGACTCCCTCTACTAGCTCCCGTCCTCCTCTAGGACTGCCATCTCTGCCTGTGTAGTTCCCTGCTGTGTCCTCAGTGCACAGAGTAGCACCTGGCACAGAGCCGATGCTCAATGAGCATGTGTGGTGCGTAGAGTGACAGATGAGCCTGCGAGACTCACAGCCCTTAGAGCGCAGCTGCCAGAGACACAGCAGCCAGACACATGGGTTCAAATCCTGGTGCTGTGACTGGGAGATAGGAACAAATCATTCCTTCTATTCCATGCTTCTCCAGTAAAGAAGAAAATTAAAAGTCCAGCTATTTTATATTTTTTTTTTGTCAGAGAGAAAAAAAAAAAATTCATAGCACCTGTATCCCAGCCACTAGGAAATCAGGAGTGCTGAAAGTTCAATACCAGCCTGGGTAAAATAGTGAAGCCTGGAATATTGTACTAGAGTTCACGCCTACGTGATGCAGGAGTATGTATGGAAGGGGCTTTTCTACTCAATCCCCTGCTTTAAGATGCTCGACCAGGGCTGATTTATTCCTGAAGGGAGGCTGTGAGAATACGTAAAGCACCCCTTTCTTATATGACAACTAAAAGCTCAGACCCCATCAGCCTGGTTCTGATTCTCCAAGAAGCACCATTCGGCTGTTGAAAATTCTCCTGACTCCCAAAGGTCCCCACACATAACTTTCACATCATCGTGCAATATGTGGCTTTTGGTGTCCAGCTTCTCTCACGGAGCATCACATTTCTATTGAGTTGTGACAGGTATTAGAACATTGTGGTTTTATGGAAATAATCATACTTCATTTTTGGATTGCCCATTTGCTTATCCATTCACCAGCTGATGGACATTTGGGTCAATTCTACCAGCGAGGTGCTTGTGAGTGGTGCTGCTATAAACATCTGTGTGGAAGTTCGTGTTCAAAAAACTGTCTTCAATTTTTTTTGGTCTATACGGAGGAGTGGCAATGCTGGGTCCTATAATAACCCTTAGGTTTAATTCTGAAGAACAAGCTATCTTTTTTAAAAAAAATTTTTAGTTGTAGATGAACACAATACCTTCATTTTATTCATTTATTTTTATGTGATGCTGAGGATCAAACCCAGTGCCTCACACATGCTAGGCAACCGCTCTACCACTGAGCTACAACCACAGCCCCAGAACAAGCTATCTTGTTTCATCTTGCATTTCTTTGATTATCACAAAACTAAATATCTTTCCTCCAAATGGTATCGAACATTTGCATTTTTCCTCTTGCCTACTGTTAGCCTTGGGCAACAGGGGCCTCTGCCCTGCTAGTGATGCTTCTAGGCACTCTACTCTGACCCTCTTCTGTCCTATCCCACCCCAAGGCACACAGTTTCCACAAAGCCAAGAGTATGTGTTGACCTTGAGCTTGCACGCCTGTGTAATCAGTGCTGCATAGAACTCCACAATTGCCTGCTTAGGTGGCTGCCAGCCACCATCAGATCTGAGAGTGCACCCCTTGCTTGGGTCCATCCCTCTGCCGTGGCCCACACTGCTGGTGTGTGTGCCCTGGATGTGGCCAGGCAGTGGCTGCTGGTGGAGGCTGCAGCCTGCAGGTGCCTGTGTGGGTAAATGTGAGGCCCCTGGAGTGCTGGCTGGAGTCTGGGGTGGGAAAAGAAGGGGACAGGCCATGGGTCAGGAACAGGAACAGGCTCAGGGTGCTTCAGATATCACCACCATCTTCTGCTGTGGACCTCTAAAGAGACCCGGAACTCCATATTTGAATCTGGCATTTGGTTATTATAAAAATATGTTTTTCAATGTAGGGAGTTAGAACATGTTTCATATAACTAAGAGATTATTTGTTTGATTGATTGATTGATCAATTTTGAGACCAGGTCTCACTTATGTTGCCAGGCTAACCTCAAACACCTGGGATCAATCAAATCCTGTCATAGCCTCCCAAGTAGCTGGGACTACAAGTGCACTGGACTAGCATTATTTTTAGCTTTAAATATTCAGTCCCATGGCATATGGGCCTTCATTTGAACTCTGCAAATGTGGAGAGTGACCCTGGGCGGTTTTGTTTGTTTGTTCATGTGTTCTGTTTATTTAGTTTTGTGTGTTTGTTTTGGTTTTAGTGATCACTGCCTTTATTATCTGAAGATTTATGCCAGTTGTGGTGGTGTACACCTGTAATCCCAGCTACTTGGGAGGCTGAGACAGGAGGATCACAAGTTTGAGGCCAGCCTAGGCAAGTAAGCAAGACCTTGGCTCAAAATAAAAAAACTAAAAATGTTGAGGATAGCTGGGCACAGTGGTGCGGGCCTATAATCCCAGCAGCTCAGGAGGAAGGAGGATCAAGAGTTCAAAGCCAGCCTTAGCAAAAGCAAAGCACTAAGCAACTCAGTGAGACCCTGTCTCTAAATACAAAACAAAATATGGCTGGGGATGTGGCTCAGTGGACAGGTGCACTTTAAAAAAAAAAAATCAATCCCTGGTACCTTAAAAAAAAAATGTTGAGGATATGGCTCAGTGGTAGTCAACTGGCCCAGCATGCACGAGGCCCTGGATTTGATCCCCAGTATTGGAAAATAAAGTTTAAAACATTTAAAGTCAGTCTTTGAGCCAGGCATGGACCCATGGTCTCGGCTATTCAAGAGGCTGAGGCAAAGTGGATATTGGAGCACAGGAGTTGGAGGTCAGCCTGGGCAATTTGAGACCTCATCTCAATTTTTTTTTATTGGTTGTTCAAAACATTACAAAGCTCTTGACATATCATATTTCATACATTAGATTCAAGTTGGTTATGAACTCCCAATTCAATTATTTTTAAAAACGTCAGGCTTTGGGGTTTTTCATTACATTCCTCAGAGAATCTGACTGAAGTTCCTCCTACTTGTGCTAGATTAGGGCTTAGCAAACTACAGTATGACTGCCAAATTCAGCTCCTTGACTTTTCATAAAAATAAAGCTTGATTGAAACTCATTTCCATAACACAGTACGACTGTGTGTACACTACAATGACAGAACTGAAACAAAGATTGGGCAGCCCACAAAGCCAGCCCTGGCTGAAAATAATTACCCACCAGTGCTAGATCCACATGGCTGCCTGCTTCCTGCTTCCTGGATCTGCTCTCTTCAGGAAAAATGGGCATCCCTCTTTACTGCCTTTTCTCCTGTGAAGTTCTTCCACAGTCCTCATTTGTCTTTTCTTCATAACCAGAATATCTAGAGGCTCCTTAACATTTTTAGATGTTTTACTCACTTTAGTTCTTCAGAACTAAAATTTAAAACTTATGTTTCCCAAGTGAAAATGTCAACTAATTTCTCAAAAAGTTAAGTCATAATTTAAATATCCATCATCCCACTGCTGCTGATGAATTTTTTATTTATTTTTTTAGTTGACCTTTTATTTATTTATATGCAGTGCCAAGAATTGAACCCAGTGCCTCACACATGCCAGGCAAGTGCTCCACCACTGAGCCACAGCTCCAGTTCCAGCCCCTGCTGATGAATATTTTAAGGTGCACAGTCATTTAAATTTTTCTCTCCCTACAAGTGTCACTGGGTTTGCATATTACTTCCAAGGCCACTAGATGGCACAAATATCCAGTCCCTCTGTCTCCGCACCTTTCCTGTCTCAATGGAGGTAAAGACATGCTGTGGGGGCTGGAGATGAGGCTCAAGCGGTAGCGGGCTCGCCTGGCATGCGTGCAGCCCAGGTATGATCCTCAGCACCACATACAAACAAAGATGTTATGTCCGCCGAAAACTAGAAAATGAATATTAAAGAATTCTCTCTCTCTCTCTCTCTCTTTAAAAAAAAAAAAAAGACACACTGTGCTCCTAAGCCAGTTTACTCTTTTAAGAAACCATATATTTATTTCAATTGACAAGTAAAAATGCATATATTTATTGTGTACATCATGATGTTTTGAAATAGATATACAATGTGGAATGGCCAAATTCAGCTGATTAACAAATGCAACTACCTTACGTGGCTATCATTTTTGTGGTGAGAACACACAATATAGTCTCAAGGGTTTGTAAGACTACTGTGGGCACCTTGTGGGCTAACAGTGAGCTGTGTGTTCCTCAACCTTCTCAGAAGCCATAGGTCACAATAGATCTCCTCAAACTGTTCCTCCTAATGAAATTTGCACTCATTGAACAATATCTCCCCAAAACTCTCTCCATCTCTGGCAACCACCATTCTAGCCTCTGTTCCCCCTCAACCTCCCATCCCCCACCCCCGGTACTGGGGATTGATCCCAGGGGTGCTCTGCCTCTGAACTGCATGCCCAGCCCTTTTTGTTGTTGTTGTTGTTTTGTTTTGTAACAGGGTTTTGGTAAGTTGCTGAGCTGGCCTTGAACTTGCAATCCCCTTGTCCTGGCTTCTCAAGTCACTGGGATTATAGCCATGCATTACCGCACCCAGCTTTAGTCTCAGCTTGTATGAATTCAATTGTTTTAGCTCCACATATGAGAGAAATCGGGTAGCATTTCCCCTTCTGTGCCTGGCTTATTTCACTTAACACAATGACCTCCTGGAAATGAACATCAGCTGGGAGAAACATTCAACCAATGACTAAGGGGAGGTGGGGTTCATGCATGAACCCCCTCGCCCCTCACCCCTAGGGTGGGCTAACAGTGAGCTGTGTGTTCCTCATCCTTCTCAGGAGCCACAGGTCACATTAGGCTCCAGGTGCCCCGAGAGGCCACTGCTTTCTCTTTTCTGGTTTGTTGGATGACTTCCACATGATTTACCTTCTTTTCCCCCTATAGCGACTTGCTGAGCTGCTGAGGCTGCCTAGAACTTGAGATTTTCCTGTCTCAGCCTCGGGAGTCCCTGGAATTTCAGGCATGCACCACTGTGCCCAGAAAATTTACTCTTACTCTCGAATCCTTATCTAGGATCCCTTTCTAGGGACTTTAAACTAAGATAACAATGTTCTCACTGCCTTCCTCCCACCCCCCAGCATCTTCTCCTTATTTGTTCCTATGATTTTCTTACTCATTGAGGAGACACTAGTCAACTGGGTGATGCCAGGAAACAAATGACTTACCATTTCTGGGTGTCTGTCCTGTTTATAAAACAGGGATGACTCTGCTACCCCACCGGACCTGAGGCCAAGCAGACTCCTCTACTTACTGCTTACTTAGTGCATTTACTGTCCTTTCTTCCCAGGCTCCCGAGAAGCAGAGGGGAAATGGGACATGGCTAGTGACAGAGTTCGTGCTGGTGGGATTCTCCAACCTTCCGCACCTGAGGACCACACTCTTCGCGTTGTTCCTCCTCACCTACCTGGTCACCGTCAGTGGCAACGTCACCATCATCACCATCATCCATGTGGATCGCACGCTCCACACACCCATGTACCGCTTCCTGGCGGTGCTGTCCCTCTCTGAGACCTGTTACACGCTGGTCACCATCCCCAACATGCTGGCCCACCTGCTGATGGAGAGCCAGGCCATCTCCATCTCTGGCTGTCGGGCTCAGATGTTCTTCTTCCTGGGTTTGGGTTGTAGCCACTGCTTCCTCCTTACCCTGATGGGTTACGACCGGTACGTGGCCATCTGTCATCCCCTGCGCTATTCGGTGATCATGAGACCCACCGTTTGCCTCTGCCTGGGAGCCTTGGTTTTCTGCTCTGGGTTCTCGGTGGCCTTGGTGGAGACCTGCATGATCTTCTCCTCGCCCTTCTGCCGCGGAGGCCGCGTGGAGCACTTCTTCTGCGACATCGCCGCGGTGCTGCAGCTCAGCTGCGCAGACAGTGCGCAGAGGGCGCTGGGCATCTTCTTCCTGAGCATGCTGGTGGTGCTCTTCTCCTTCCTCCTCATCCTCCTGTCCTACGCCTTCATCGTGGCGGCCATCCTGCGGATCCGCTCCGCCGCCGGCCGGCGCAGAGCCTTCTCCACCTGCGCCGCGCACCTCACGGTGGTCGTGGTGCATTTTGGCTGCGCCTCCATCATCTACCTGCGGCCCGACTCCGGGGCGAACCCCGCCCGGGACCGCCTGGTGGCTGTGTTCTACACGGTGGTGACGCCGCTGCTCAACCCCGTGGTGTACACTCTGCGCAACAAGGAGGTGAGGGTGGCGCTGAAGAGGACCCTGGCGCGCAGCGGCGGGGTTTCAAGATGAGGACTGGCTTTGCACTGTTCACGAGGATCTAGGTTTTCATTAACGGGTGCCCCTCCTGAGACCCAGATCCCCCACCTGGAAAACAGGATTGACTTTCATATTCTTCCTAAAGATTGACGCGTTTGTATTTTTTTATTTTTCTTCTCCAGTGCTGCGACAGGCCCCAAAGCCTTGTGCATATTGGCAAGCGCTCTACCACGGAGCCACTTCCCCAGCCCCACGTGGGGGGATCTTCATTCTCAAAGCAACAACTGTGAGAGGTGGGAACTAGAAGAGAGGATAAGGTCGTGAGGGTTCTAATCTTTTGAGTGGACTAATGTCAACATTGGGGAAGTAGATAATGACCCTTGGAGTGGTCTCAGCCCCCTCCCTGTTTCTAATGCTCTCCTGCCTTTCTACCTTCTGCCATGAGATGGTGAAACCACAGCCCTGGCCAGATATGGCTTCTTGGACCTCCCAGCCTCCAGGAAAAAAAAAAAAAATTAAAAAATTCTCTCCTTTAGAAATTACCCAAGATGTTATATCATACTGTAGCAGAAACAACACAGGGACTGGGGCATAGCTCAGACGGAGAGCTCTTGCCTGGCATGCACAAGGCCCCCAGTTCAATTCTTAGCACCAGGAAACACACACAAGCTAAGTCAGAAAATCAGCACCACAAGTTGGATTCTTGTTATAACGAATACCTGAAAATGTGGAAGTGGCTTTGGAACTAGGTGGTGAGTAGAGACTGGAAGAAGTGCAGGGCAGGAGCCGGTCGCAGTGACACATGCCTGTAATCCCAGCGGCTGGTGAGGCTGAGACAAGAGGATGGTGAGTTCAAAGCCAGTCTCAGCAAAAATGAGGCACTAAGCTACTCAGTGAGACCCGTCTCTAAATAAAATACAAAATAGGGCTGGGGATGTGCTCAGTTGGTGGAGAGCTTCTGAGTTCATCCTCAGTACCCACCTCCACACACACACACACACACACACACAAAGGAGAAAGAAAGATGCAGGGCAGGTCTGAATCTTCTTAGAGATTATTTAAGTGGCCATGATCATGATATTGATAGAAAGATGTACCTGAGATGAGTTCTCAGAATAAAATGAGGTAAATATTATTGGAAACTGGAGTAAAGTACATTATATGAATTGAAAAAGAACTTGGTTACATTATATACAAAATCAAGGGTTTTTGTGGAAGGCAAATTTTAAGTACAAGGAACTAGGATATCAGGTGAAAGAAATATCTAAGAAAAATATTGAAGGAGTTGTGTGACTACTTTTAATTCCATATGGTAACATGCAGGAAGATAGATGTGATTTAAAGACAGAAATTACAATTAAAAGGGAAGCGGAGCTGGGTGTGGTGGTGCACACTGTAATCCTAGCTACTTGGGAGGCTAAGGCAAGAGGATTGCAAATTCAAGGCCAGCTAGCGTAACTTTGTGAAACCTGCTCTCAAAATTAAAAATTTAAAAAGGCACTGAGATGTAGCTCAGTAATAGAGCATACGTTTTTTTTTTTTTTTAAGAAGAAAATATTTAAAGTAATTTAAACCCAAGTATGCTATGCCTGGTGTGGTGGTGGATGCCTGGAATCCTAGAAACTTGGGAGGCTGAAGCAGGAGGATCACAAGTTCAAGGGAGCCTCAGCAATTTAACAAGGCCCTAAGTAACTTCACAAGAGCCTGTCTCAAACTGAAAAATAAAAAGAGTTGGGGATGTAGCTCAGTGTTAGAACGCTTGCCTAGCTTGTGCAAGGCACCAGGTTCAATCCTCAATACCACACACACAAAAAAAAACATTTTAACAGTACCATTCATAACCATTAAGAACTGGAAACAACCCTTCAATGATAAAAATGTCCTTCAATCGTTAAACAAAGATATATGGAATATTACTCTGCAACAAAATGGAGGAACTACTGAAACATAAAACATAGAATATAGAAGAATATCACTAATATAGGGGCTGTGAGTTTAGCCCAGTTACAGAACACTTATCTAGCACCTGCAAGGCTCAGGTTTGATCCCCAGTACTGCAAAATAAGTAAATAAATTTTTAAAAAACATATATCACTAGAATAGCTGAAGTTTAGCATACTGACTATACCAAGTATTAATAAAGATGTGGAGCTGCTGTAATTCTCAGACATTGTAATTGCCCATGGAATGTAGCACGACCTGTCACAAATGGAAACAAGTATGGGTAAGGAAATTGTGGTATATTTGTACAACACATCACACATGCCATCTTCTGCAATAAAAAGGGGTACACATAATATGGTAACTGCTGCATGAAACAACACAGATGAATCTCAAAAGCCAGACTTAAAATCCACTGCTACAAGATTCCATTTACTTGAAATTCTAGAGACAGACAGTAGATCCATGATACCCAGAGCCAGGAATTTGGGAGGATATTGACTACAAAAAGACACAAGAAAACTTGATTCTGGTAGTAGCTATATGGCTACATTCACTTATCAAGACATCCCCAAATTTAAAATTTATTACATTTCATAGATGTTCATTTTACCTCATAGAGCTGAACAACAACAAAATAAATGAATGAGAAAACTGAGTCCAATTTGAATTCTTCAAATTGCTCCCATCTCAGTATCTTAGCTCTAAAAGCCAAAATAAAACAAAACAGAATCCTTTAAACAAAGCAAACAAACAAGAACAAGAAGAAGATATATTCCATCTTGAACAAAACAGCCTGGTCTTGGTTGGAAAGGTATCTTGCTCAGAGCATTTATTTATGGAGCTAGAGAGTGGGGCAAAGGACACAGAGGGTGGTCTTTATGTTACCCACAGTCTGGCAGATCCAACTGACCTGTCTGAATGCACTGATGATGTGTGTACACGTGTGTGTGTGTGTGTGTGTGTGTGTGTGTACACGTGTGCCAGGGATCGAACCCATGGCCTTATGCATGTGAGACAAGTACTCTACCAACTGAGCTATATCCCCAGCCCAAATGCACTGATTTTTAATATGGAAATGGTGTGGACAGCTTCGAGCTAGCCCCTACATTGATCCTCTGTATTTACCTATGGCTTCCTGACAGCCAACCACCAGGCTCCAGCTCCACCTTCCCCAATCTTCCCCTTCCCGAGGGAGAAACACCTGTTTAAAGCTAACCTCTCCACGTCAAGTGTAGGAGATTGGAGTTGGAGTTCTACATTAAGGAATGACTGTGTGTTATGGCTTACATGTGAGATGTCCCCCAAAAGCTCATGAAGAGGAGAAATGCAGGTTTAGAGGAGAAATGATTGGGTTGTGAAAGCCTTAACCCAATCACTGAATTAATTCCCTGATGTGATTAACTGAGTGGTACCTGAAAGCAGGTAAGGTGTGGCTAGAGGAGGTAGGTCCCAGGGGCGGGGGGTGCCTTTAGGATTTATATTTTGCATCTGTTAAGTGGAGTGTCCCCACACACACACTTTATGATCATCATGTAAACTGCTTCCCTCCACCACACTCTTCCTCCATGATGTCCTTCCTCACCTGGAGCCCTGAGGAATGGAGCCTATGGACTGAGACCTCTGAAACTTCGAACGTTTAAATAAATTTATTCTTTTAGTTACAGCAGCAAAAAAAGCTGGCTAAAACACTGTGTGCATACATGTTCTGGTGTATTCTTTTCCCAAAAATGTTAATTTGCTATTTTAGAGCTAAGCATTTTCCCTCATTTAAAAAGTAAGAAATAATCATGCATCCCATGTGTTTGATGGACCCAAGAGATCTGCTGAGAAGGAAAGTGCTTTCAAGAATTCTAGCTGTTACTTTTGGTTTTGCTTTTGATATATCTTAACAACCACACAGTTTTTCATGTTTTCAATTTTTGGTCTGGTAGTAAAATTCTTGTTCCCCAAAACATCTTGTTGGCAGTTGTCGCAAAGATTCCTGTTGTTGTCTTGTAAGCAGTATCAAATTCATCAATGTAGGAGTTCTTTGTTTCAATATGGACTTCTGATAATCTTAATTTCAAAAAATACTTTCTCTGCTGATTCTCAAATCAAATGAGGAGGCTCATTTCAGATGATTGCTTAATCTTTATCTCAAAGAAAATCTTTCTACCTTTAAAAAAAAAAAACAAGAGAGAGAGAGCGAGAGAGAGGCTTTCTCCACACCAACTTGCCTGAACACATCTCCTTTGTTCCTTTTTTCTCTGTTCTTGAGATCTTCTGGCATGATGGGTGCCTGAGAAGCAGCGTGATTTGCCATGACAATGATGTAGTCATCTACGCACCTCCTGTGGATGCATTTCTAGGCTGAGTGTGACACAGAGGTAGAACGTAGTCATTTCAGTTCCGAGTTTCCCACCTGACTCTTCATGAAGTCTAAGGTTTAGACTAATGGCATTATTTCATATTGTGCAGCATTGAATTTTAAGAGGATTGTTTCCTTCAGGGTAGAACTTTTAGCAAACCTGTGTACAGCTTACTCTGCAATGATCATGGGAGCAGGCATTTGGTTAAAGCTCCAGAGACTGAGCGTCTTGATTTTTTAAAGTAATTATGAAATCACCTCTTTTTTTAACCCAGCAGTTCAAATGTCTAATTGAACAAAATCAAATGATGCTGGCCAAATTATACTGTTATATTGTGTATCTATATGAATATGTAACAACAAATCCCATTATTATGTACAACTATAATGTACCTATAAAATAATATAGAAAAATCGGGGCTGGGGATGTGGCTCAAGCGGTAGCACGCTCGCCTGGCATGCCTGTGGCCCGGGTTCGATCCTCAGCACCACATACCAACAAAGATGTTGTGTCCGCCAAAAACTAAAAAATAAATATTAAAATTCTCTCTCTCTCTCTCTCTCTCTCTCTCTCTCTCTCTCTCTTTAAAAAAATATAGAAAAATGAATGAAAGAATGAATAGATAGAAAAAAAGAAAGGTGATAAATGATAGAACGTAAAAGCATCAAAGACTATAAATCAATAGATGGATAAAAAGATGATAGATAAATGATGGTTGAATGGAGAGAGAGAGAGAAAGAAAGAGAGAAAGATGGATAGATAGATGGATAGATAGAGAAGCTGAGTACAGTGGCACACACCTATAATCCCAGCTACTCAGAGGCTGAGGCAGGAGAATTGTAAGTTTGAGGC